ACCGAATGTTCCATCTGCTCTAGCAAAATCATTATTTTGAGTCGTTATCAAGATATTCAAAGCATTGCATTCGAGAAAGCTTGACATAATATTGTGTAAAACTCAACATTTTTTTACGACTCAGCAGATAAAACTTTATAATTCTGAGGTAGCAAGATGTTTACCCAACATTCGTTAAAGAACCTTTTTTATTTGCTTTTAGATATAGTGGTAATTTTTTAATAACCTTTGAACTGAGTCCCCCTTTTGCTTGTGATTGGTTAAAATAATATGTACACTCAACATGACCTTTGCCTGGCTGTCGCTTCTTCGTTAGTAACACTTATTATTGATAACATAATATGTATTAGAAAAAAAAAAAACATCAACGGTAACATGGTAAGACTGAATCAAAAGTATGATGTTGGCTTTTGAGAGCCTTCGTATTTCAACACCTTGTAGAAAACCACATGAAGCAACCTGTTGGAGGAAGTCACCTCAACTTCAATAATAAACTATGATAATCTTTAAGACTCTTTTTTTGTAAGTGTTTTACTGCGCTCGCAACAGCTATAAGGTCATATGAGCGCGCAGAACATATGAACCCTTTTCAGTTGTTAGGAATTATTTTAAATTTTCCCCGCTTGCCGGCCAAAGCCTATTCTTATCAATTTTGGACCACAGGGATCTTTAACGTGCGCAACTTGCACACAGGACTTCGGAGATGTTTCACCCTTATCCGAGAAGGATATGTGTCAGATCTTACCTTCCAAAGGATCAGGAGTGTGGCTGAAAGACAGCAGTAAGAAGGAGCCGTGAAGTAGCAATAGAAAGGCTGCAAAAATTGTCAAAAGCAAAGAGGAGGGGACAAAAGAGGTATGGAATGGGGGTAGAAAGTGGAGACGAAAGCAGACGAAAGAACATTGTTAGAGAGAAAGAAAGAAGGTAAAAGGAGAACATTTTGGAGAAGAAAATGTTCCATCGCTTTCCGGATTCGAACCTGGGACCTATTGAAAGAGAGGCGAAAAAAAGATTAACATTATCATAATAACAATAATCATAATCTTAATAATAATAATTCATTATTATTATTATCATCATCATTCTTCTTCTTCTTCTTCTTCTTCTTCTTCTTCTTCTTCTTCTTCTTCTTCTTTTTCTTCTTCTTCTTCTTGCCTTTTTTTTTCGTTTTTGTCCTGTATCCCTTTTTCGGGTACCATGTTGGTGTAATTATTCGTGTCAGAAAGTTGTTGGCTAAAAAATGTGAGTGAGTATGTACAATATTTAAAATAAAAATGGATCTATATGAGAATAATAATTTGAATATGAAGACGTATTATTATTGTTACAATTGTTATTGTTATTGTTATTGTTATTGCTATTGTTAGTACTATTATCATTATTTTAAAACAAAAATTTTAATATAATTATTATCACTGGCTTTTTGTGTTCTCTACAGGATCGCTCGGGACTACAGGGCGCACGTGCAACAAATCTTCTATGGGCACCGACGGTTGTGACATCATGTGTTGTGGGCGGGGCTACCACACACGCGTGGTGAAGCAACATTACAAGTGTGAGTGCAAGTTCCACTGGTGCTGCTTTGTACACTGCAAGGATTGTCAAAGGTGGGTGGAGCTACACACCTGCAAAGGCCCCGCCCCTCAGGGTCTCATTGGCTCCTGATATTACTGTTGGGTTGGGTGGAGCTACGCACGTGTGAAGGCTCCGCCCTTTAGATTTTCACAAGTTCTTCATTACAAGGGCGGAATCTCATGCGCTTTAGAACTCCACCCTCTCTCATCTCTGGGGGCGATCATAGCCTCTTGCTGTCCGGATTGGGGCTACTCGTGAACTTAGCCCCGCCCATCACGGCTTCACGGGCTCTTGGCTGACTTTATTTGAACTCTTGCAATAGCTGTTGTGGAGTAGTATTGACACATCAGTTGCTGTTATATTGTCAGTTATATTGACAGCTTTGTTTACTGCTTTTCATAAATTTGAGACGAGCTGACCACAGCCACCTGACAATGTTCCTTTAATGGGAGTAGATTTTTTTTTAAAGAAAAAAAAAAAAGAAGGACGTATGAATTTACCGCACCTTTGGATAAACGATAACGGTTACATCATATTTGATTTAATGATTTCTATAAAACATTCACAATAAATCTTTTCTGGATAAAATGATGTGGTGTGATGCCAGTCAATAACTGGAGTCATTGAGACTTACACTTTCTTGAACATGATAAAACTGTCGAATGGCACACTGGTCTACTTTGTCGAGTTTTGACAAAGTTGTGCCTAATTCGTACATGTGAATGTTGTAGACTTTTTCGTTAACAATCTATCATGACGCATCAACTTTGAATAGTCGGCTTTTAGAAGTGAATAATAATATCAATTTACCATGCAGTGTTATGGACTTGTTTTTTTATGATTCACTGAACCATGACAAGGTTTATCTTTGGCGTTCTTTTACTTTTACAGTTTTATTCTCTCATAATAATATACACTGTGTTCGAATCAATTGCTCTCTTGTGTTCTGACTGAGCCATTGTACCAGTAACAAATGAGCTCTAACACTGAACAAAGTATAAGGACTATAATGTCGTCAAAAGACATTATTGTAATATTACATTTGTTCGTCCCAATTTTTTTATAATGTTGTTTCCATGTTTTATTAGATTACATTTCTAAATGCAATTTTTAGAATAGTAATGCTCTTTATGTGCTGTATTAATTGCTGAATAAGTTTTGTTAAACATTTGTTCATTCACATTTTTAAATTTAAAAAAAGGAGTTTCAACTGGTTTACGGTGTCTAAAGGCGTCAGGGGAACGAGGTTGGAAAACCTTTCACAACACATAGCCTACTCCATAACATAACCGTGACTTGGGTGCATCGTAACGCCAGTGGCTGTCTTATACTATTATTATGAATTCGTCTTAACGGCTGTGTTTGGGGTCATATAAATACTATCTTTCCTTTAAGTAAGCTTATGAAACTCAGTCTTTAACGACGCTGATTGAAATGAAGTGTGGACTTTGTATTTTATCGAAGTTAAACGTATTGTTTTTACTCAACTACATTTCTAAACTCACAGAAAACTACTTAATGCCCTCAATAGCATTTCAATGATAAATCACATTACAACCAGCAAGTCTTATGTCTCGACTATAATAAAAATTGATTCGCGTTAGAATTCTGACAGAAGACGTATTATTATTCTATTCCTGTATAGAAATATTCTTGTAAAAAATCAATTGTGAATTTTTGTACAGCACCAAAAAGATTCACAGCACTCAATTAAAGTATTGTCTTGTCTTTGTACTTTAAGGAGAGGTAAAAATACACGCTCTGCATGCCAAAAAGAAGATGCGACCCCTATAAATACGGATATAACTCACTTGAGCATAATAAGCTCCGTCTCGCAGAAAAAGTTCACAGAGCGTCCCGCTTCTCGCACACATTTTGTATACGCATATGGCCTGCGTCACACACAGCTCACCAATGACACTTTTTAGTGGCAAAACTTGTCAAAAGAAATTAATTTTACAGTGAACACATTTTTGGTTCTCAAAACATGCGTTCAATGAACACAGTGTCCCGATCAGAAAAATTTATTACCGACTTAATTTAACAGTGATAATGTCCCAGCAGTAAAACGTTAAAAATCTATAGAAACCACCATTTGTATAATTTATTCAGGTGTTTTCTGGAATACAGCTAACAAGTGTTTACAAAAAGATTGAACTGTTAAGGCAAATTGATACTAGTCATTGTGCAAAAGGTGGAGAGTCAATGTTCGATAGCTTAATTTGAGAATAAGTTGCGTGGCGCATTTTTGACCGCACTATAATTATAGCTGGTTGGGTGGCTTAGAGAATTAGTTTTGGTTGTTTAATTTTGAATGTTGCTATTTAATTTGAAAAGCGCTGAACTTTTTGCATGACACAAAAAAGAGCTCTGGTGAAGCTCCGTTAGTTGATTCCCCTCCTCCCCTTGTTTTTGCTGCAAAAACGTAAAAAAGGAAAAAAGCCTGAAGACTTAGTCTCATCTCAAGAAGTTATTAAAAAAAGAAAAGAAAATATTATGTTCCATTGTTACTGAAATAACTTTTTCTCATGGTGTATTCGATTCAACTCTTAAGATTATACTACCTGACGTGTTTAGTGTATATACTTAGATCTACCACCCCTTTCTAATGTTTAAAAATAGAAAATTCTATCAGAAATTCATGCTTATCAATTCGAACTTCCCGTATTGATATTACCTCCAGTATGCACAGTGAGACACGCTAAATACCATTTTCCCTCATTTTCTTCAGAATGTGTATTATATTAACGCGAAAGTGACATTGTTCTATTTTAAAGACCAGCTTTATTCTTCGCTGAACTTTAAAAAAGCGTCATTAAAAATTACATCTAGCACGCAGTCATTAAAAAATCGAATTACTCTGTCTCTCTCTCTCTCTCTCTCTCTCTCTCTCTCTCTCTCTCTCTCTCTCTCTCTCTCTCTCTCTCTCTCTCTCTCTCTCTCACTCACTCTCTCTCTCTTTCTTTTTCGCTTTGTCTCTCTCTCTGTCCCTACCCCCCCCCCCTGTGTTTTAATCTTTCCTTTTCAGTAGATTTTTTGGGTTAAAATGTCCATTTCAAACCTATCTGCCCTCTTAGGTCCTTTTTTGCTAGAAAACTGGCACCAGTTGATAAAATATGTGAAAGTTAAACTTTTTAAAAATCGAACAAGAAAAAGAAAAAGAAAAAGAAAAAAAGGTGAAACATCTTTTATCTTTAATAATTTTGTGCCCTCATCTGTACATATTTCTCCTTGTTCCAAGCCAGCGCCCCCCACCCTCCCACGGCCGTACTCTCACTTTGAGCTGTTAACCTATACAGATTTCTGCCACATACTCCAAAACTACATTTCGTTTAAAAACTGCCTAGTATGCAGCTTGTGGGTCAAGAAGATGGCAGTCCTGATCAACAACCTGAAAATGGCAACCGCAGAGACAACGTTACATAAAAGACACAGGACGAGTGCTTTGAGATTAATAACCGTACTGTTCAGATATCCTTATTGTCAATGTCAACTAAATGAATGTCAGTGTAATAATATGGTCATGAGATTGTGTCAGTTTTATTCGAGATCTGTCTTTAGTTGTTGTTGTTGTTGTTTTTGTGTGGGTTTTTTTTTTTACATTCTTCTTGTATAATTTGTTGTATATGTGCAAAGTTATATTCATGAAATATGTATTGTTTATTCATTCCATCTGTATGTGAAAATTATTTAAAGTCGTAAATCTGTTTACTGTTATAGATAGCTAGTTACTGTTTTGCAGCGTTCAAGACGGCTTGTGTAATTATCATTGCTTTCCCTTTCTAAAACGTATTAGATCTATCTGATTTTTGAAAAGCTATTTTTATTCCCTATCTCTACTCTCTGATAAATACTCAAAATCGAAGCCTAAGCTGGAAAAATGCGATTTTCAGGACAGCTTGTAGGCTTAGCTGGGGAAGGTGAAAATTTTGTAAGGGGGAAAAAAGGGCGGGGGGAGGGGGGATGACAGGCGTTCACACAAAATCTTTATTCAAAGATGTTTGTGGTCAGGCTACCGGACCCGTAATCGGTAGATTGCAGGTTTGGGAGTTCGAGTCTCAGCTCGGTCCAACGTTTTATCCGTGGGAAAGCACTTTATACACAAATTTCCAATTTGGATCTCTAACTTCGGAGATGGATGTTAACTCGGAGGTCCCACAGCTTAAATAACCCAACAGTGTTGATAGGGGTGTGGAACCTATCCCATTTAATTTCACATTTTCAGACATGTTTGAACGTCCTGTGCAGTTTAAAGAATGAATTTTAGGAGAATAGGACATGGTGTTTTGGGATTTGTAGAATTTGTATATCCAACATGTTGATAGTTCAGATAGACTGTTCAGGTAGATACATCACCATAGTTCATGTTTCACTGTTTTATTGAAAAGAAACTCAAGTGGGTATGCTACTGTTCATTGTAATTACGACCTTGCCGTGGAAAGAATCGTTTGTCTATTCCGATGGCAATATTATTGTGTAAATAAAAAATACAAGGACATTTTAAACAACTTTCATCTCTGTTTTTCTATTTCAGGTAAATATGTTTTTGATCCCTGTACTGTTTATTTCTGACGCCATAAAAGCCGTCTGCCCGACTTGAAGTTACTAAAGGTCTACAGTAGTTCCCCTGTCGTTCTTCTTCACTCTTCGTCCTCTTTTGCAGTTGTCTCGGCAATAGATAAAGGGCGGTAATTATCAGATATTATTTTGATGCAAATGGTCCATGAGTTACTTCCCCAGAGCCATTAAAATTTTCATTACAGTCGAAATTCTCTGAGACGGCCACCCAATGTCGAGGAAATAATTGGTCGTCTTAGTCTGTTGACCGTCTTAGGCAGGACTGATCAAAATGGAGTACGAAAAATCCCTTCTGAGGTCCAAACCGGAGGCGGTCGAGGGTGTAAGACGTTTTTAATGCACATGTTTTTACGCCCTGATTGACACAATTTAGATCATGTAGAAGGAGGGCTTCAGACAATGTCTGTCAGGGGCAATCCGAGCTGAGAGGGAAGCGACATCCCAAAAGAAAGACCGAGACACTCGACAAATATTTTCTCCCGACTGGGGAATCGAAATTGGATCTTCTGTGTGCGACATCGAACCACCTACCCGCTACACCACAGACTGATACCAGTGCTGGTTTAGGTTTGCCTTAAGGTCAATTAAAATATTACCAACTGGTCAAAACCAGAAGCCTCTCCTTGGCAACCTGCGGGCCAGAAATTAGTTTATTCGAAGGACAGGTCAACAATTATGACAGTCGAATGAATTATGGCGGTTCCTCCACAGTGTCAGGGGCCGATGCAACGTGTCTGGCGAGGAAACCTGTGCGTGGTCATCTTTGATTGGTTTCACAAACATTTATGCAGTTATTTGTTGAAATACAGCTGCTGTTGCTGCGTTGGACAAGTTTTAAGCAGTGCCACTTTACACACACATACACACAAACCCAGACAAACCCCAAGGGGTAAAATAGAAAGTGGCTGTTTGTACAGATGGTCGTCTAATACAGGTTGTCGTCCTAACAAGTTCAACTGTATGATATTATTATGAACTAGCTGGGCCCCCTTTCGTTGAAAAGAATGATCGGTGCATTAACATCAACTGAAAGTCTTTGGGCTACTATATTTACACTCTACTGGAATGGAGCAATAAATCCTGAGAGATGCAAAAAAAAAATTGAAGGTTTAGATATCTAGATATCTGCCGTGATCTGACAAAACGCATTTTTCTCAAAATCAAGGTTTCGAGATAATCGCGATTGAGTGTTTTTTGCTAATTAAACTAACAAATTTCAATGTTGTTTTTGTCTGACTATCCGACATAAAAATATATATCATTTACCATGACTATACCAAATTTGATTGAATTTGAGCTAAAGACAAACAAACAAACAAGAAGAATGCGTTTTATCAGATCTTCCTT